ACGCCGGAGGCTGCGGGCGGCGCGGGGCCAGGGCCGTGGCTGTGGCCGTGGCCATGGCCGGGTGGCCGGGTGCCCTCGGAAGAGGCCACCGTCGCGGGGAGGCCGAGGGAGCGTGAGGAAGACACGTACTCGTCTGCAAAACCGGGGACAGAGCAAACCCACGGGGTTAGGACTGGGAGAACAGGGCGAGGTGCACAACGCGTGCGCTCGGATCTTTGCAGCTGCTGCTGGTTTTACAGCGCTGCGGCTTGAACCCAGGGCCTTCGCACTGAGCTACGTCACTATCCCTTTTTCATTCTGGATTTTTAAACAGTCTTGCTATGCCCACCTTGAGTCTGACCGTGGATCAGCAATCCCCAAACCCTCTGAAAGCTAACTGTGCTAACAGGTGGCCACAAGGAGCTACTCAGAGTTAGAGGTAATAAAAATAACAAAACAAACAGAGCAGTTCCTCAGTCCAGCGGGCCCCATTTCATGCTCAAGAGTGCATGGACTGGAGGCTCTGGCATGGGCAGTATGGCTAAGGCACCATCAGCACTGTAGGAGTTCTGCGGACTGTGGTCTTTCTATGGATGGCGGGAGGGAGCGCCCCCTGCGGGAAAGCCTGGTCTGGACGGGCAGGCAGCTCCTGCGGCCTCACCTGTCTCCTGCTTTGGGTGCCCCTCTGCCCCACAGGTGCTTCCCGGGTCACCCGGAGCAGACAGAAGCTTGCAGCTAAGGGGTCACACACCACACCCAGAACCTGACTCTACAGAGAACAGCAGAGGCACAGAGAAGCTAACGAACTCGCCAAGGTCACACAGCCACTAAGTGGCGGAGCCAGGAGGTAACCCTGGGGAGCTACGGCCAGGGACCCAGTCGGTCCTTCGTCTTTGCCCTACAGAAGTGCCCCCTTCACCAGGGGCCATGGGTGCCCCTCGCACCTGTTTCTCCTCTCAGTACTACTGACTACTTTCAAATGTATCTATACATGGTATATATGGTCCATTGTGAGGTCATGGGTTTGATCCCCAGCAATGGGAAAACAAAATTCCCAGGTCCAGGGCTCAAGAACTAAGCAGAAGGCAGGCGGGAGGGTTGAGAGAGAAGCAGGAGGGACTCTTCTTTCAAAGGAAGCAACAGGGTTAGCCGGCATGAACATGCGCACAGGCTAAGGGGGAGTTTTGGGTTTGGCTGGACTTCTCCCTACACACTGGGGTGAGGCTTGTGAGACTCTGAAGGCGCACACCTTAAGGGAGCTTGCAGTGTCCCATAAGCTCAGGATCAGCATGAGTGGATGCAGCCCCCTGTACATCCGGCAATCCAGGCGCCTGGTTCGCCCGACCCAGCCCCCAAGTGGGGGGTGCGGGTGAGTGGTGGGTGGGTGAGAGGGCAGCTGCGCATGCGCAGAAAGACAGTTGGGCCTCCGGGTGCCAGGAAGTGGGCTCGGTCGCCACCTAGTGGCGAACCAGGCAAGGCCGTGCAGCCCGCAGCTGGCGTGTGCAAAGCAATGTCCCGCCCTGCCCGGCTCACCGGGCTTCTCCTTGGCCAGCTGCTTATCCAAGGCAAGGGTGGTCTTCTCCTCCTGAATGAACATTCGGTCGATCATCACCATTTCCGCTGAGGGGCTCACCCTCTGGAGGGAGAAGAGAAGATCCCCAAGTCAAGAGGCAGGGTGGGAGAAGGCGCAGGAGGGCGTCCTTTTAAAATTTTTAGACAGGTGTCACTGTCACATTCTCAGGCTTGGCTTTAACTCGTGATCCTCCTGCCTCATCTTCCCTGAGTGCTGGGCTGACACACGTGTGCCACCGCGTCCGGCCCCCACCGTCCCCGCAGTGCGCCCGTCCACCTCCCTCCCAGCCTCCTTTCCAGCACAGAGGGCCGGGGAGGGATGTGGGCCCTACCCGGGACTCCTCCAGGAGCAACAGCCGGTACTTATTGAGCATGGCGTGGGTGCGTTTCAGCAGCTGCGTGGAGACTGTCTCAAACTCCTCATCCACTGCCAGGAAGAGAAAGGGTGCGGGGCCGAATGTCGGGGGCTGCACCCCGCCCAGGCACCCCGAGCCGGGGCCACGGGGCCGCGCGGGGCGGGGAGGCCTCACCTCTGTGGTAGTCGCTGGGGGAGGGAAGGGCGCCTTGGTAGACGTGGTAGGGCAGGAGGCGGTGCAGGGCGTCCTCGAAGGAGGGGAAGGCTGTCTTGTAGTCCGGGTGGAGCACTGAGCCCTGGTGTTTGTGCAAATGCTCCAGGAAGCTGCGGGGGGGGGGGGTGGGGGCCGAGGCCACAGGCAGGCGGGGTGAGGCCCTGGGAGGAAGCTGATCCCCGCCCCAGCCCGGCCAGATACTCCTCGGGCCGGAGTGCGGGCTACCATGACCCCACTTCACCGCACAGGAAACTGAGGCCTGCAAAGGGGAGGTGCAGCCACTCCCCCGCCCAGAGCACACAGGGAGTCTCCGCGTCTGAGGGCCTCGTTATTCTGTCTCCTGCCACCAGGGGGCGGCAGTCTCTGGCTGCCAGGACCCCCGCCCCCTCCCTTTGATGAGACTGCTCCTTCTCTACCCTACCTGGCTGCCCCGCAGCCTTCACCGGGAGGAGCGAGGTCTGTCTTGTTGACTGCTGCGTCCCTGTCATCCAGCGTGGAACACACTGGGTACCCACATCTGCCACCCAGCCAGAACGGCACCCACTCAACACCGGGCACCCAAGCCGGCACCCAGCCAGCCCGCCTGCCTGCCTGCCGCACACGCAGTCCCCCGCCCCCGCTCTCACCGGCTGCACCTGCGGGACCGCGGGGGTCGGCACGGGCACCAGACCAGTCGCTGCCGTCTGAAGCCAGCAGCCCAGTGGGGCCCCCACCACCCCGGGACCATCGTTACCACTCCACTTCTTTTCTTTGAGACACGCCCTCACTATGTAGCCCAAGCTGGCCTTGACCTCTCGGTCATGCTGCCTCGCTCAGCTGCCCGAGTGCTGGGGTCACGGGCCTGGCACCCCCTCGGCCGGGGCCCAGTGCTCCCCGGGCCGGACACGCGGTGCATTCGGGAGAGAGCACGCGGGCAGAGGAGCTGGGCGCTCGCAGAGGGGTCTCCCCGAGAGGCGCGGGGCGGGGTGCAGGGCGGCGCGGCCACTCACCAGGCCTCCTTGCTGGGCTGCAGTGTCGGGGCTTTCTTCAGGCCGCTCAGCTTGCCCTCGTACTGGGGAGGAGAAGCGAGGCTGAGGCAGGCGGGGTCCACCCTCGAAATCGCGGGGTCTCTCCCCTCACTCTGCCCCCACGCTGCCTGGGGTTCACCCTGACTGGAGCTTGTCCCACCCCGCACCCCCCGCCACCGGGCCACCACCTAACAGCAACTCGGGCCTCCTCTTGCCGCAGGCCGGCGCCCGCCTCCGCACTCTTCGCTCTGTCTCGGGGTCGGACCTCTGGCCCCGCCCCTGGGTCCTGCCTGCCCGTGGTGCGTCTGCATGGCTGTCCCCAGCTGTGCCCAGGGGCCCTCACCTGCAACCCGGAGGACTTCACTGGCCCAGACGCCGAGGCCTTGGCCACGCTCAAGGTCGGGAGGCTGCTGGGAAAAGCTTTGCCCTCGGCGGGAAGCAGGGCTGGGAGGCCTGTGTGCGGGGGAGGACAGGCCCCGGCTCACCGTGGAGGCCGGCTCGGCAGTGCGCTTCCTGCCCACGCCAGCCCTGGTCACCCCAACCGGGCAGCCACCCGGCCCGCCACCTGCCCAGCGCACCCCAGAGCTCTGCCCAACCTGCCCCGTCTAGCTCCACGTCTCCCATCGGGCGCTCCCCTACCTGCAGTGGCCATGGGTGCCGGGGCTGCGGGGTGGCTGGAGCCGGCGGGCGTCCCGGATGGGGCTGGCCCGCTGACCAGCACTGAGGCAGTGGGGTTGGCCAGGGGCCCCAGGCTGGCGGAGGTCTGCGGGGCTCCCGGGGCCTTGTTCTGGAGGATGATTCCGGATGGCACCTGAGGAGCGACAGGTGACTGAGGGGTGGGGGGCAGGGCCGGGTGCTCCAGGGCCAGGCGGGGTGCGGGCGGGCTGGGGCGGGGGCAGCGGCCATCTCTGCTCCGATTACCTGGTGGAATCTCTCGAGCAGAGCCTTCGGCTGGGGCAGCGCTGGGAAGGGGGTGGTCACCATCTGGAAGGTCCGAGGAGGCGGTGGGGGGGGAGCCGTGGGCTCGGGGACCAAGTGGAGGGTCGGCGGG